TATGCTCGATGAGAATTCAGGAACTGACTCCATTTGAACTTAATTTCAAATAGCACTTCATAAGCCATATGGTCAGAAATTAAAGCCACTCTTAGTTCTTGATAATGCAGAGCAGGTTATCAGTAACTCTTTTGTCATTACCCTGGACAAAAATTATCCTAGACAACCACCTTATAGTCCCTATTTCCCCAGGAAATGAAAACTAAATCTAATTTTGACCTAAGACCTAAAGATTAGAAAAATTACTAGAAAAAAAATCAGAATCACAGAAAGTATGTCAAAGTTAATATATTTAATACCCTTTGCTTTGTACTATCTATGACTTTGCATCCCTGCAAGAAAGTAGAGTTGATTAAATATTTTTATGAGCGTCCATTTAAATATTTACCAGATTTGATTAAGAGAACACTGCTAGTAGAACGAGATATCCTGAGGTAAGCGTACCCAATTACATGTTTAGTGTGAGTGATTTGTAAAAAGAAAGAGGAGTTACCGCTAAAGACTGAAGCTCCCTTGTCTCTTCCTCGGCTGCTGAAGCATGATACGACAGAACCTGCAGAACGGGAAAACAAGTCCAGGTTACATGGGAGAAACCACCAATTTGCTAGACTAGAATTGGAAGCTGGGAATTCTGCTAAAACTTCTGGGAGCGGTAACTAGACTTCTTAGAATGTCAAATCGTATGTGTTGCTTTTATCCACAAAGTGAAAACCCCAGATTTGGATTCCATGGCTTGGTTTGGAAAACAAAAGTTATACTCTTCCCGTTCAAAAAAAGACTCCTGTAACTTTCATCCTGACATTACTGCGACAACACATTATTTATAAGGCAGCCTAGAAATAACTAGTGGCTCAAACTTGGCAGAAAATTTATTTTGAATTGTTTTTTAATAAAAATATTGACTTTAGTTATTTTTTGCTTGAGTACAGAATTAGGGGGGAAAAAACCTTTGCCTAAACTGACATTTAATGTTGGTATTTGGAAAGAAAGTAGTCTAGAAGTAGTCATCAGATGAGTCCTACGACCACGTAGAATTGATACAGAAAAAGTGCATGGCTGGGACCTAACATCAGGCAGATTGAAGGATCCCTTTAGCTTCACAGAATTGGCCCATAAAGCCACCCATTAATAGTTTAAGATACTAAGACTCAGAGATTCTCAGGACTTGGCTGCAAGCTCAACCTAGAGAGAGGACAAGGGAGCTGAGGATCCAGCTCTCAACCCCTAACCTACTATACTTTCCACAACCTTGCAGATTCAAAAAGTCAACCTTCCTCTTTTCTTACTAACTGAACATGAGAATCATAATCTCCACTTTTCAAACTGACTTCTGGGTACAGACTGTGCATCCCAAATCTGAAAATCTAAAGTCTGAAATGTTTCAATGAGCATCTCCTTTCAGCACCATGTTGGTGCTCAAAAAGCTTCAGGTCCTGGAGCTTTTAAGATTTTGGATTTTTAGATTTGGGATGCTCAACTGGTAAGTATAACGTAAATATTCCAAAAGCCAAAAATATATGAAATCTGAAAGGACCCAAGTGTATCAGATAAAGAATATTCAATCTGAAATGTGATATTATTTTAGACACTTTCAAAAACCAAGGTAGTGGTGGTATTTAAAATGCCTATCAATAAAGTTCATTTTTGATAGAGATCACAATTACTTCACCAAAAACCTCAAAAGTTTTAAAATCATTGATAACAAGGTAAATCATTTCAGACTTTAAATGGCAAGTAAATTAAGCAAATATAAATCTAAAACCAAATGGTATGTGCCTACTATCTTGTGATTCAGAACATTTATAGTCCTGTGCCACATACATCAAATCTGCCTTAGCAGTGGAACCGTTAATCACTAGACCTCCGGAAACTCGGAGGCGCTAGATCCTGCACATGAAATTGACAGGTCATGGCTCCTACCCTGTTGGTGTTGAGGCCACAGAGGTGGAGAAAAGCTAATGCTATGACCATGAATAATTCTAATATTAAGTACAAGGCAACAAAAAGTTTTTAAAAATGACAAAGTTTAAAAGATTATTTTTATCACACTCTGAAGATAAAAATAGCACCTCACTCATAGGGTAAAAGGATTAATTTTGTTAACACATGTAAGCATTAGAATACAGAGGAAATATTTGATAAAGTCTAGCTATTTTTATTGTCATTGTTGCTTTTGTTGTTATTCTAATGATCATGACTTCCAGGTCTAAATAATTCACTACTTTAAGAAGACCTGAGGGGTTTGAGTCCCTGGTTTCTGTCCAGTGGCCTCATCAGGACAGGAAAATTTTGGTTGAGGTTAGATCGTGATCAATGAAAGTATATTTAACTAAAGGAGAGCTATCATGTAAAAATAGAAATAAATCTCATTCAGAGATTTTGAACAAAGTGATATGATGTCTGGAACTGCTTTAAAATACTCCAAAGGGAGGTGAAGAAGAGTGTGGAGGACTGAGGGTGGGAATGGAGGGAGCAATACTGGCCCTGGCCATGAAATCAGAAAAAATTAGATTAAAAATACATATATAAATACATCTATATACGTATATTTATGCAGTTTCAAACTGTATGTGCACATGTAGAGTTATGTGTGTCTGGACATAATTGAAACTATATTTAAACTATATGTTTGGGTGTTTATGTATATATGTATGCATACACATTTGAAACAGATTTTAACTGATTCATTATGGTCTATCATACATAGTTTTTATATAATACTGTAGCTAACCTGCTGGTGTCATGTATTCAGCTGAAAAGGTAAGTGTGCCATCTCGGTCACTGGTAAAACTTAAAGAATCACTATGAGGGGAGGTGGGGAGGGGAGGGGAGAACTCTGTAGTAATACAGATTCCCAGCCTCTTCCCAAAATGCACTGCATCAGAATCTCCAGAAGTGGAGTTTATAAATCTGTAGTTTGAAAGCTTCTGAGTCTGAAGTAGCTCGCTGGTCCAAGAACTTCAAACTATTCTTGCTTTTCATTGACTTTTCCCCCTTCACTTCTAACTCTCTTGGGAGTATCTAGGCCTTATGTTTTTGTGCTTTTTTAATTTCTTTGCACAATTGTTCTCATGGAAAGATGGGGAAGCTTAGGCAGTGGGAGGGGCAGAGAGGCTACAGTGGCAATCGTCACTTGTGTGAAGGGATTATTAGAGCCAAAGACTGCTAACTGCAGGAGAAGCAGGGGACTGAGGGACAGCTTGAGTTTTGGTTTGGTTGTATTGACCTTTGACAAGTTTCTAAAACATTTTGTTTCCTTCACTTTTAAAATGAGGACTCTAAGATCTCATCATCTACATTGCACGATTTTTGTGAGGACTCATCATGAGTTGTCACCGTGAGTTGTCACCGTGAGTAGTCATGAGGGAAACGCAAGAGTGAGTGTTTGGAGGAAGCCCCAGAGCTCCCCTAACGTCAGCCCACCTCTAATGTGACCATTTGCTTGGCCATGGCTCTTTCCACTGCTTCATACATCTGTGTGTTCTGGATCCCCAAGCCACAAAAGATGACAAAAGCTTCCAGAAACTGTTCATCATTTCGGTTGAAAGGCTTAACTTTGTCCGTATTCTCCTCCATCTTATTAACAAGTTGGCAAACTCCTATAACGATCCGAAAAATGGACCAAATGTTATTGTTAATTGTCATGGCTTTTCTTTACTTTAACACACACACCCAAAGATTGCCATATACATTTTTCTTTGGAATACGTGGCATCTCCACATAAGGAAATGAACCCCCACAAATATAAGCAAGAGAAATAAATAGAATTTATATGAAAACTAGGTTCACATGGTTCTAAATGTACATTGTTGCCAGTGCTCAAAAAATCCTAGAGTACTATTTTCTTTCAGACTCGGTCATGAATTTTAAATCAGTTGAATCCCCAAAGACAATTTGTCCTTTGGAAACTAATTGGATTTTTGTCCCCTTGCCAAAAGAACAATTTTGATGCACATCAGAATTTCGGGTCACACAGATTGCCTTTCCTTACTGAAAAACCAGAAGTTAAAAAATACAGTTACACATAAAATAGAATGCAGAAAGCAGACAATTCACATAGACAGTCTCAAATATACACTGCTGTATTCAGGAGAATCACATTTGCAGACAACTTTTGATACATCAATAATTGGATACTGCAAATACTTATGCAAATAAAATGGCAATTTACTTAGAAATAAAAGTGTACCTAGTAAGATGTGAAGAAAATGGTTAACGGGGATTCCTAGCTTACCTCTGGGTAAAACAAATGCTATCATTTCTGTCTCTGAATATTTAACGATAGACTTCCACCATGCGCCCACTGTGGGATAGGCACTGTGCTAAATACTTAGGTAGACACATGACCTCTAGTCCTCACAATTCATACTGTAATGTAGTTGTGATCAGCCCTATTTGCAGATGACAAAATTGAGTTTCAGAAAGGTTGCGTTATTTGCTGAAAGCCACGTAAGCTGGTTGGTATGGATCTAAAATTCAACCTCTGGCTCAGTGGGGCCCCAGAAGACACTCTTTGCCACATGTTGCTGCCCTTTACCTCTCAGTTCATTGCTGGCCAGTTCTCTGATCTCATCTTGCCTGCTCCTATCTGTGCCTGTGCTTTGCCATAGGCTGCCCTGGTCCCCTCTGCCCTCCGTCCTGTCTTCCCCACTGATGCTCACACATCCTTCACAATGAGCTTCTGGAGTCCTCCCACTCACGGGAAGGCAGGCACTTCTCTTTTCTATGCCCTTAACATTATCACTTGGGATAGCATGGCAGATTTTATTTCCATCTCTCTTTCTAAGCTGGAAGTATCTTAGGCTTAGAGATTTATTTTACTTTTTTCAGGTGTCCTTCTTCAGCTAGCAAAATGCCTAGTATATGGTAGGAACCCAAAAAATGTTTTCTGAGTTAATGAGACTACATGACTGCCACTCTGACTCAAACTATTTTTCCATGAAGATCGTAGTCTATATCCCTTTTATCCTGGAGCACAAAAAGATTTCATAGCGTCTGTGGTGATGTAAGGTGCTTGATGTATTAAGATCTTGTATCACTATTAGTGTGCATTTTCTTCATTTTTAGCACTAGAAATGATCTGTACTCTCCATTTTACTCTTTTTGGTCTACTTTAAACAGTAAAGACATCTATATGCTCCTCTATCTGCATTAGAGCTGCCGGGATTACTTCTCTAACATTTACTCCACAATCAAGGAACACTTTAAACAGACATAATTTGGACACTGCAAGTAAAATGGCAATCAGCAATCATTATCTTTAAAAGCACATGTCCCGTGCATGGTAACCAAAACACAAGGGTTATATCCCTCCAACCTTTGTGAACCCCCAAATTATAAATATGGAACTGTTTATATTAGTCTTCTGGCTGACTCCCAAATCACATTTTCTTGAGAGTCACATGTTTCATGCCCTTATCCTCACATCACAATGGAATTGCCTTTCAGCTTTACGGAATTTTTCTCCTACTTCTATAAACAAAGTTTTTTTTTTATTATTATTATTTCATAAAAATTACAGCATATATAGCAAGAAAAAAATAACAAAGAGGGGCTGAGTCGTGGGCATCAGGCAGTCTGCTAGGATAAACTAGCCAAGAAGGTCCCCTGTATAGCAGTTCAAATCTATGCCTCAGTCAAAATTCACTGAATGAACATGTGAAGAGGGATTAAATTATACCTCTGGAATTACTGGAAGTTCTTTAAATGTCATGTTAAATGTACAAATATCAAGGATCTGTTATAACAACCACAGCTCAGAGCAGAACAGCTAAAGTACACCTGTATTAGACAGACTTAATTAAACCTGGTGCTGAAGACGAATGATTTGTTTAGGGATATAATTTAATTCTCTTTTGAGAGTAGAAAGGACAGCCATCTTTATATAGCATTCATGATAATCCTTTTGATCTCTTCAGACCCTTTAGAAAATTTGCTTATGTCAAACAAAAATACTCTAGTTAAAAAAAAAAAAGCTATAGAAATGGTTCATAACAAACAAATGAAGCTCTTCATTTAAGAAAATTAAAAGCTTGGGCACATTTACAATAGTGTTTTCGCAACTTCTACCTAAAAGACTGGAGAAAGGGTAAGTAATAAAATTTACAACTGGTAATCCGAGATGCCATGCTACTAGTAAGCCAAACAAAATCAGAATCATTTATATATAAAAACAAAGTGATTCATGCAGAACCAAAAAGAAAAGAAAAGCATCCAGCAAAAACCAATTAACAAGTATAATCATAAAACAATACTGAAAACACATTAGGGAAAAACCAAGAGGTAGTAAAGTAACAGGGTCATTTCATAAAATGCTGCTACAGACGTTATCTCAGGTTGTCCCTACAGCAGCTTTAAGAGCATTGAAGCCACCACTGGAAATTACGCTGAATGGACTGGCTGGCTTTCTAAGACCTCACAAATTACCTTTTCCATAATCTCAGGGATCAGATGTTGTGAACTTGAAATATTAGCATCCCAAGTCAACTAATATGTAAAACCTACATGTACAACCTACCACATGTAAAACCTTGTGACCTATTGTGCAAATTCTTTTTTTATTTTTGGACTTGTCATTTGTCAATCATGTAAATTTGAGGAGGAAGATTTTCAAGGAGTCCAAATAATCATCTCTGCAGTTTTCAATGATAATGCCTTGATTTTTAAAAAGGCTTCCCTATTTTAGGATTATATACAAACCTGTATTTTCCGAAGTAGCTTAAAAGATTAATTGTATGACATTTAATTTTACAATCCAACTTAATTCTTTCTTTACATTGCTACTGGGTTATTATAATACCTGAGTATTTACCCATTCTCTGATGATCTGAATTGTCACTTTATCCATTTAT